CAAGAATAAAGGATTTGTAATGGGCAGTCATAGTCTCACCCCTCACAAGCTGTGTCTTTAGACGATTCTCTGAGCTTCGCTGTATCATTTGCAGAATGAGACTGAAATCAGGAAAATAATGTGAGTTCCAAAGAACAGACATAAGAACAGAGTGGTTTATAGGTTTTTCAAAAGCCAGCAGCCGCTCAGAGAGAGACACCTGTAGACACCCACATGTTTCTGTGCTACATATTAGGAGGAACACAGTGAATTTTGTCCTGTCACCTTCCAGCATGACACACCCTAAGGAGAGACGGGGGGAATAAAGCACAGCCAAGCCACAGGTGCCACCCGTCGGACCGTGCCAGGCGAGGCTGGAGTGTAGGTGTGTGGGGAGGAGCAGAAGCGTCTCGAATGGCCAGATGAGTGATTTACACTTCACTCAGATATAAAATTTTGAAGCAGAGAAAGGCATAAACTAAATACCGGGTTAGCCATAAAGTTCACTTGGTTTTTTCTGTACGATGGCTCTAGCAGTGCTTAGTTGTCTTTAACTTCATTAAAAACAATTTTGTCAGATTTTATTGTGACAGCTGTCATATCAGTGTGCATTAAAAAAACGTATCAAAATTGGTGAATTTTTGTGCAGCCATTTAAATATTAAGGATGGAAAAATATGCAACATTTTTGGCATATTATGCTTTAATATTTCAAGAAAGATAAAAATGCAACTGAAATGCAAAAAAAGATTTGTGCAGTATGTGGAAAAGGTGCTGTGACTGATTGAACATGTCAAAAGTGGTTTGCCAAGCTTCTTGGTACTACCGACATTTTGGCCATATAATTCTTTGCTGAGGGGGTCTCCTCTGCATTGGAAGATGTTTAGCAGCACCCCTGGCCTCTACCCACTAGAAGCCAATAGCAGGAGATACCTGACATACTCAAAATATCCAAATCGGTCAAGTTACTGATGAAAATTAAAAATGTGCCTTTTATTTTATGGAAAAACTAAACAGACTTTTTGGCCAACCCAATAATATTGAGAAGATTACTCTGGTCTCATTGTACAGGACAGCCCGGACAAGGGAGTGATACCAGAATTGCCAGGTCTCGTGGGCAGCCTTTGTTTATGGGACCATAAGTCAGTAGGCTCACCTTTGAGAATGGTATTTCAATCCAACTAATAAAGCATCTTTTGCACAAGCCAACACTACCACCTTTCACAGTCACCTGCCACTTTTCCCTGTCCCTGTGTTTTCCTCTAAAAGCCCTGAGACACAAGTAATGCACACCCTGTGGTTAGCATGGGGATTATCTCTGTGTTGTGTGTTATGCACGCACCACACCTAAGCCCACAATGCCACATTTTATCAGAGGTCTTGCTGTCTTATTTGCAACCATACTTCACAGGTGGCCAAAATTTCAGACACCCTAAGAAAAGCTTTGAAGACAGAAAGCAACATCACAGCCTCCTGCTGTGGTTCACCACCTTCCCTGTGTTCAGCCCAACAACTAACTGCCTGCCATGCTTTTCCACTTTGAGACTGTGTTTTAAGTAATACACTTGGAGAAAACATCCTGATGGTGGCCACAGAAAAGACTCTATTAGAAGGTAGAATGGGGCTCCATTTGTCTGGAATGAGGTTGAGGCATCAGAAACAAGCTCTCAATATGTCTACCTACCCTCAGTTATCCAAACTGTGATTCACCTGAAATTTCTTCTCTTCTAGTTACTGCTTTACAACTCCATGTCTTTAGAGAATCAGGAGACACAGCACAGGCTTCTGCTGCTTTTCATTAATTTTTAAAGGCTAAAAATAGACACTGCAATTATGTCCCTAAAATGTTCTCTCCACAGCCCATCGCCACAGAAAACCACTGTGACGGCATCTCTCCTTGTGGAAGTTCCCTGATGCATCATCAGTCGCCTTAAACTCAGGTCACATTTTCCTACACGAACAACACAATGAAGCCGCCACTGGGTGCTAAATCAGCTCACAAGAAGCAGTTTAACCCTCAGTGTCCCCACGCAGAAGGGAGCACTCTGGCGCCATGCACTACACGGCAGGTCCAAGGCCAAGAGCACCTCCATGTTGGCAGGAAGGATAAATGGATCCTGGAGAGTTGTGATCTTTTAATAGATTTAAAATAATGAGAAATTGTGGGAAAAAAGAAAAAGGCAAAACAGTTTTTCACAAACATGGATAGCAGGTGAGAACTACTTTTCAATCCCCCCTCTCAAGGGACCAAGAAAGGTGACCTTGGTGGCCCCATTCACCCCACCTCCATGAGTTCCCATGAGTGTGGGTGGAGACTGGGACTTCCTCCTAATCAGTGGAATATGACAGAGGGGATGGTGTCTCTCCTGGGACTACATGATGTTACGTGAGGCTGCATCCAGCAGGCTGACTCTCCTTGCTGCTGGATGAAGTCAGGGGCCAGGTAGGTGGTCTCCAGGTCTGCCAGCAGGAGGCCGGGGCCCTAAACCCTACAACCACAGGAAATGCTCCTGGCTAATAACCTTAAGGAGCATGGAAGCAGGCTCTACCCCAGCCGAGCCTCCACATGAGAACCCAGCCCCAGTCGGCTCCTGAGGGTGGCCATGGGGAACTCAGCATAGCACCCCTGCACCACGCTCTGACCAGAGGAGCTGCGAGAAGACAGATGGGTGCTGTCACTGCTGCTAAGTTGAAGATGCGTTATGACCAGAAGATAATGAGTCTGCATTCGTTCTCTCTTTAAACCCTCACGGTTTCAACTGTCTCTGCTTTGGTAGCTGGACTACCTGAAACTACTTTTTTTTCTTGGTTAAGGCCAAATGACTTGAAAGTAGTTTCTTCCTTCTGGAAGCATGGCATACATTAAATAACTATTATTTTATTTTCTAAAAACTGTGTCTACCCTGTGCCACACGACTGTACTGTCCCTGCTCTCAGGGTGCTCAGAAGCTGCACGGGAAGACACAAACAACCATCGCCCCCACAGCAAAGACTGTCTTGCATCCACCACAGGCTGTCTCCTTCCAGGTGATGAGGACGCAGCCAGGAGTGGCACAGCGTCCCCTACCCTCGTGAAGGAGGAGACAACATGATCGATCAAAGTGTACAAACAGGTGCTGCAGAGACACACCATCTCTGTCACCATCTCTGGTCTGTATGTCTTCACCCAAGAAGAATGACATCATGGTGATGTGGTGTCCAGTAGATGGACTGTGGCTTCCTCTGATTTAGCCATGGCTCAGGACCTGTGCCCAAGCACCTAAGGACGGTCCAGGGCTTCACCACACATTTTGTGCCAGCACTGTCCACCCCTCGAAACAGCCAGCCTGACTCAGGCCTTTCACTCAGGCGTGAATACTCGCCCCTGCCACGCCCGGCACTAGGGAACAGAGAAAGAAGTTCTTACAATAGTCCGTTACACCAGCAGAGACACATCTGACTGCTGCAGCAAGGGGAGGAAGAATGCAGAATGAACTCACCCTGATTTAAGCACTTTTACTAAATAACTTCTGAGAAAGAAGAAGAAAAAAGTATTGGAGGCTTACATTGGTTTCTGACTCCACGGAATACCCTCCTCTCCTTTCCCTGCTGGCAAGGATCTAATTTTACTGCCTTTGCGGAAGTGCACCTAGTATTTACAAGGTTGCTTCTGACAGGTACGAGGGTGCAACAGCCTCAAAAATAAGGTGCTTACTTATAGCCGTAACCCCTCTGGGAACTAGGAGCTCTGGAAGCCCATCCTCCTTCCTTCTGTTCAAGGCAGCTGCTTGGAGATGCTGGCATGTGGCAAAGGGCAATGGCTGGATCCCCGCAAAGTCCCTCTGATGAAGGAATCTATGTGGACTCCTGATCCCTGATCATGTGGGCATTCTTAATACAGTTACACACTTAGAATTAAGACAACAGATAGCCCCAAGGAATGTAGGAATGTGAGAGGACGATAAAAGGCAGGTGACATTCTTCATACAAACACACACACACACACACCTGAAAACATGACTTCCATTTTTTGTGAGGAATAAAATAGTGACAATGATGAAGCCTCTATGTGGCAAACTCACTTTTAGAAAATTGAATAACAACAAAAAAGCTTTCAAGTATTTCAATAGCAGAACACTTTTTTCCCTCACTGCGTCCCATGCCAACCCCCCAAATTAGAGTCTAATAAAACGAGAGCTACTCTTAATTGTAAGACATGCACGTGCCGAGCCCCAAGGGCCAGCCTCGACCATCCCCGCCTGGCTCCTGTGACCCACCTGACACGCACTGATCTTTGTAGTGCCTAAACCGCAGAACAAGCTTCAGAAGAATGCTTAAGTAAGAGTAAAAAATAGAAGAGGGAGAAGAAGAGGAGAAGTTTGTGAATAGGAAAGAAATTGGAGCTTTCCCTTCACCTTAAGAAATGAAAAGTCTCCCAGAGTCAAAGGCAGAAGTGCAGCCCAATGCATCACTGGCCCGCCGTGCACATGCCCAGGGAGCCGCCAGCAGCCGGCACACGGAATACGGGCCCCTCCACACGCCGCTGACAGCACAGCAGCCGGTGTCTGCCGACCCCGGCCTTTGTGCAAAAGGCCTTAGCATCTGCAGGTATTAAGAGTTCTGCTTGAAGAAAATGTAGGAACTTAAGAAACCCACCACTGTGAAAGGGTAAAACCTATTTTCTGATGAGATGGAAGTAGTAAATGATTCTTTTTAAAAATTTTATTTATTGATTTGAGAGAGAAAGAGACTGATTTGTTGTTCCATTTGTTTATGCATTCATTGGTTGATTACTGTATGTGCCCTAGCCAGAAATTGAACCCACAATCTTAGTGAATCAGGACAGTGCTCTAACCAACTGAGCTACCTGGCCAGGGCCAAAAGTGCTAGATGGTTCTGAAAAAGCACAGCAGCCATAGATTTTAAAAGGTTAGTTGTCGGTTCATTTAAAAAGTCAACAAGTGACTAAAGGTCTAAGTGAAAAATACATTCTAGCACAAAAGTGATAACCATACTACTCAGTTGATGATGGGCAGACTGTACCTGGAATATGATCCAAGGACTTGTCACCTTGTCTCCTCGACAATCGCCTGGGTCTTGGAGCGAAGATGTCTCAGGAGTGATAAGCTGGGGGCTTCAGGCTCCTGCAGGGCAAAGAAGAGACATCAGACACAATCTGTTTTGGCCCCAGAATCTCCGTGCCTTGGCTGTTACAAGAGGAAAGACTCCATTTGGCTTGGCACCAGGAAGGACATCCCAGCTGTAATACCAATGAAGAACTGAATGAAGGCAGAGAGGCAGGGGTCATGTCACAGGGACTAAGACACAGGGTTGAGCACCACCAGGCAGGGTCATCAGCAAGGGAATTCAGAAGAAGACAGGAAACAGGACAAGATGGCCTCAGACCCAGCGATCCTACCACATCACTTCTACAAAAAGAAGGTCATATTTTGAATAAAGACGCTATCGTCACACTCACAAGCCATTTCCACAAATCTAGGGAATACAGGTGGGTATGCAAGAGCCTGAGGCCCTTGCTAGGGACCAGGAAGGGGAGTGAACCCTTTCTTGACATTGGTATTGAGAACTGAGGTCAGCAGGGGCAGAAAACCTTGTCAGGGGTAACAAACTCATTTTCACTGGGGGCCACATCAGCCTCGTGGTTACTTCCAAAGGGTTGAATGTAATTTTAGGGCTGTACAAATGTAACTACTCCTTAACCAGTTACCCAAGAGCTTGGCGCTGCTGCTGGGTAGAAACGAGGGGCTGGGTCAGATATAACAAGGTGGGGGGCTGGAATCAGCCCCCAGGCCTTGTGTTTGCCACCGGTGCCTTAGCTGGTTCCTTCAGGAAATAGTCGCACTCCAATCTGTACAGTCAATCATTTCGTGAGGGAACCTCCTGTACCTGCTGACACGTGGGCACTGAGCAGACACACAGACAGGCCCAACTGTGGTCAGTGCAGGATGTGCACTGTTGACGTGCCTGGTGGAGCAGCCTGCAGTCCCACAAGGAATGGGGTCAGTGACTGGAGATGCCACGGTCTGAACGCAGTGAGGTCACACTTCCCGAGGGCGCGCCAGGAAGGACCTCTCAGTGGCACAGAAAGTCCTTCGCTTTCTCAATATTATCATTTCTACTTTGCACAATCGCACTGACCCAAGAGCTGGAGAGGTTTTATTAAGCTTCCTGAATATGATTTATAACTAATGTGAGCCCACAGAGGATTATCACTATGCCAAAAATACAATAAAGATGCAGTCCATGGCGTTTATCTCTTCAACAGTGGGAACCCAATTCCAGCCTACACCATCCATGCGTTCATTCCATGGTCATATTTCATTCTTTCCCACTTTCATTCTTTCCTACTTTGAAAATGCCTAACCCTACATGAAAGTTAGATGATTATTTGCATACTTTTCATCTACATTTTCCAATATTCGACACTTTTCCATATTTGCTTTATCTTTACAGAATATATATCTTTCTCACTGATCGTCTGCTTGTGAGCTCCTGGAGCCAGATTCTCTCTCAAGGTCCATAGAGAAATGCATTCCTGCCAACACCTCCATCGGAGCCCCGTGAGACCATTTCAGACTTTGACCTCCAGAACTATAAGGTAGTAAGTTTGCACTGTTTTAAGCCACTTAAAAAATGTAGAAACAAGTCTGGAAACTGTCAGAGTGCTGGGGCTGGGGACAAAGTCACTAAGTCCTTGTGTCCTAGCCGAGAGCCACAACTGCACTTGTACCTCAGGAAGAAAACTTGGGAGTGAAATCAGCAGAACCTAGAAGGCAACAACTAGCTGTCTTTGTTGCCACTGACCAAATCAGAGCTTTCAAGCAAATAAAACAAAACAAAACAAAACAAAAAATACCCCAGAACTTTAGAAAACTTGCATCTATCACCAAGATCTCAACAACTTCCCCAAACTTAAAGGCGTTTCTCATGGCATTGGTGGTGATATCAACAATTGTGATTTTTAAAAATATATTATATGGTTAAATGTGTCTATGCGCCAGATCTGCATAGCTCAGCTGAGGCAATAATGCAGTACGACAGGTCATACCCATCTGGGTGACAGACTGGCTCAAAAGGCAGGACAGATCCGTGTAGTTTACAGCACAAAAGCTCTGACATGGTTTCAGACTCCACAGAGGAACCCACCACCACCTGTGAGTTTTCGTGTAGTATCAAAAGAGAACGTCCACAACTATCTGGAAAGGCTCCTGAAGTGCTCCTCCCTCCCAGGGACATCCCGGAGGCCATCTTTCCTTTACACACTACAACTAAAACGACACATCATAACTGACTGACATGCCCTGGCTGGGTAGCTCAGCTGGTTAGAACGTCATCCCCATATGCCAAGGTTGCGGGTTCAGTCCTCTGTCAGGGCACATACAGGAATCAACCAGTGAACGAATTCATAAGTAAAACAACAAATCAATGTTTTTCTCTCTCTCTCTCCCGCTTCCTCCCTTTCTCTAAAACCAATAAAATAAAATAAAAGCTGATGCACAAGCAGACATAAGAATCCAATTGCCTTCTACTAAGCTAAACATTAAAGAGATTTGCAAATATGTAAGATGGCAATGCTCTTATTAAATATTTTTTGGTTTGGGAAAATATTTATTTTCATTAAAATGGTATTATTATGTTAACATGAAATAGTTTACTGATGCTATTTTTAAATGGATCAATACATGAATATTTGTAATGTGATAAACATTGATACATATAACCCACTTCAGCCAAAGCTTTGGGGAGCCCCCAGTGGACTAAGGACATGAGGGGGTCCTGAGACTGAACAGTTGGAGAACTGCTGCTAGTCTGAGCTGCCCAGTGACATGAGCACAACCAAACCTAACCCCTTGCTTAGTCAGGAAAGCAGCTGCTGGCTTCTCCGGGCTGGAGGGAGCAGCCGACAGTGGTTCCTAATCTGTTCACACTGTCCAGTTAGAAGCAGTTCATACCCAACTTGCAAGTCCTGAACAGCTTTGGATTGATATGGGCTGAGCTTGTCAGGGTGAATGGGGCCTAACGCCTGGCAGATTAATCTATTAGCACTGCTTTGCTTTAATCCCAGAATGTTCCAACCAAGTGGTTCCATTTTTTCAGATTTGAAAATTCACTTGCTGAAAACACAGTAAAGAGAATGCTACATATACTTCATGCCTAAAGAACTCAGTGTTGTTTATTTTAGAAACACAGCATGCAGCATTCCAACACCTCGGGTTCCCAGGACCACACAGGAGCCACCAAGGTGTAGCCATGACACCATGTGACACTGTCACACTGATGAGAGATAGGTACATAAAATAACCTAAGAACATCTGCAAATGAACTTCTACTGAACAATTTATAAATCAAAAGAAATAAGATCTTTCCATTCGCTACATACCCTTAAGCAAATATTTTTTAATTTTATTAAACATAATGTCCAATGTTCTGACAACTTGAACAGGTGCTTTGCCCATGAATGAGTTTTTGTACTGTTCTTTGTTCCACAATTAACCAGGGATGCAGCAGTGAACTCACTACACCAAAATTCTTGTCTTCACAGAATTTAAATTCTATTACTGGGAACACTGCTTCAAAGAATAAGAATGAATGAAATATTAAGTGGAGGCAGCACACTTCAGATCCCCAACACAATTCCATTAAGTAATTAGAAATAAGATGAGCCGCAGTGACATCCCACGCAGAGGTCAGGTATCAGGGTCACTGTTGGGAATGAAGCTACAAGACTAAGGAAGCATTCGCAGTCCAAGGCAGTCAGCTCTTGAGACCACTGCCTCCAACCAAGAACTGTGGCGAGAACAGAGCTCCTTTGGGATGGCCAAGTTCCTCTAGCCAAAAGGATTCTGGAAGGACGGTATTTGTAGTTTGAAAAAACAAACCATAATTAAATTTTTTTTATCTGACATAAACTTTTGGAATCTCAGCCTGAGCTTGTTCGTTAACAGGGACCATGGGCTGAGGCTAGAGCACGATGAAGGAGTTACTGAACTAGCCTTCGGTTCAAGGAAAGAGCCGGATGACAGAGTCAAGACCTAAAGTGCAGAAGGAGCCACAGTGTCCCCAGAACCACAAGGACAGGCCTCCGGGCACCCCAAAGGCTCCATAACTGTCCTCAGACCCTCACACTTTCTTGCCCTCTCTCTATGAGCCTGCAATATGCGCACAGTGGGGCAGCATCAAGAACTGACATCACAGGGCCTGCACCTGCAACGCGCTAAGAGAATGTGACTCCAGAATGGGAATCACATTCCCGTTTTCTGGGCCACAGGAGCTCAGGAGTGATCTCCTCTATTTATGAGCCTCACAGTCTTGAAACTGCCCTTTGGATTTTTCCACCAATCACCAGATTCTTGTTAACTCACAATGAGCAGGCTCGGATGACACTAGAAACTGAAATAATTTTACCTCTCGCGTTCCCCTGCATTTCCATTTCACCCACACACTCTGACTTCCAGAGCTCTGTGGGTGCACAATGCACGCTCACTGACCAGTGCCTCAGTGGTAACGTGCTGTCTTTGCTTGATGACAGTGGACAGTACAGCTGTTACTGGTGGTCCCCAGGCAAGCTCACGAAATGGACACCAGTGTCCACTTCAGAGCACGAGTGAGTCACCTCTTCCCCCTGTTGCCAACGTCCACCCTGACTCCACCTTTATTTGGGACCGATACCAATTTCTGTCCAATCCCAAAGGCAGCAACAACATTTAAGCAGAAAAGCGTTGCAGACTAAGGGACTAACCTGCATGGAGTGACGGTGGCATGGCTCTTGTGAACGCTTGTAGCAGCCTCCAGAGAGGACCCCTCACCCCCCTCCCCATTCACAGATGAGGTGGAGAAGCTCAGAACAGGTGAATAACTCGACTCCGATATTAAGGCCCCATTGCCACCTTATAAAACCCACTGTTTTGGTGTCTAAGAGGGAAGGGCGTCTCTGTTCTTCAGTTCTGAGGAAGAACAAGGATGAGGCAGTGTGTGGGACCAGGGGGCAGCTTCCTCCCCAGGACAGCTCCGCCTACCTGTGAGCCGTGAACCTCTTTATTTTGTCACGCCTGAGGGTTTGAGAAAGAAATGATAGGTTCTAAGAGTCGGAAGGGACTGACAGGTCACCTAATGCAGAGGTCTG